CCTAGTTACGCATTCTCTCTCCTAGGGTTCCATTTTTTGTCGTTTCCTTTTTATTTTTCCTCGGATCTCGTTCTTGGCTCTATGGAGTTTGGTGCCCGTGGACGCAAAAGAGGGAGACCGGAGAATGGCAATGGCGGCTTCAAGAAATTCAAGCAAGGTTCGAACTTTCAACTTGTTTATATATATATATGTTCAGCTATTTTCGTGTGTGTGTGTGTGTATATATATATTATGTTTGTACAAGTTCGTTTGTTGTTTATTTGAGATGAAAACGATGGTTGCTCAGGCTCCAACTTCTTTTTGCTTTCTTTGTTTTGTTCGCCGAAGCACTGAAAAGTGGAAAGCTTGGAATTTTGTGTAGTCTAAGAGTGTTCGGTTGCTGGGTAAGCACTAATGGATATCGGAGTATTGGTTATAATTTTAGTACATGGATATGAACATTGTCAGCTGGGAATTTATAAAGATGAATTTAAATTGAATGAAGTATACCCAAGTTTAATATTAATTCAAAATAGAAGCTTGGTTACGAGGGATAGTAAGGAAAAAAGTAAAAGGAACATTTTGAGTAAAATATTTCCTTGAGTTCTACCCCATTAAAACACACACAAAAAACTGTGGAGCTCTAGACCACAGCAAGGTTTATATGGTTACTACATTGAGTTTTAAAGGAATTAAGATGATATATATATATATTGAAATTTAGGGCTGTTATTCTTTCTTCGAACATGGAGTTTATATGCTCTACAAATGGGTTAATTGATCTCATGTTTCCGTTTAACAATATATGTTAGCTTAATGAATTTATGTATACTTTCTTATTTACTGTTAAATGGACAGTGACAACTAGTTAAACCAGCTTGTGGAAATTTTGTATCCATTGCAGATGTATTTGTAGGTATCTTCCGTAAATGTTTGTGTGTGCCCTATTTCACTTTGTTTGGATTTGCTGAGCATTAACAATGGTGGGTTTGAACTTTGCATGTGATCCTTCATTTGTTTTTTTTAACTTTTTTTGTTAATTTTATTTAGTGTCTGGTTTGTAGTTGCATTTCAAGTGCATATCGGTGATGATGATGGATGTTCCTTCCTCATTTATTCCTGTGTGGTTCTATTATGTAGTACAATGTTGAATATGCAATCCGTTACTCCTTTTTCCATTTCAGATAAGCTTTTCTTTCATGATTAACAACGATAGCTTACTTTGGCTGTAACTTAAGTGTTATATTTTTCTCTGATGTATTGTTGCATTTGTTAGAGTTTGATTTTTCATTTATATCATTGTATGTTAAAATTTGGTGAACTTTCTTTCAAGTTGATTGTTGATTGTTGTAGAAGTTTGGGAATGCCTTCTGAAGCATATAGATATTTTACTTAAATCTGATTTGTCATCTAGAAAATCATGGAAAGGGAAAAAGTAAAGAAAACTATTTTGTCTCAATCTTCTTGAACTCAGTTCCTAGGAAATAGGGAGATCAACTTCCCGCTAGAGACACATGATTCTTTTATTTATGCTTGGAAGCCAAAAAAGAGCATGATGTTTAAATATCCTTTTCTTCTATTTTCTCATTTAATGGAGTATTGGTCTAACGTACAGAACAATTTTACAAGCCTTTTACTGGGTGTGTGTAATTACCAAACTGTCAGCCCACTAGTCAATTTGTTTATAACGTTGGTGATTAAATTAAATAAAAATGATGTAAACCAGTTATTCATATCTAATAAAGTGCATATTTTCTTTTGTAGCGAGGATAAGAAATGGTATTGAATACCTTGTTAAGTTCCAAAATCAATAACACTTAAAGTGAAACTGAGATAAATTAATTAATGTTCTGCAACAGAAATGGAGTCCGTTCCAACTGGTATAGGAAGCAAATCGAAGCCATGCATGAAGTTTTTCAGGTTCAAATCTTAACCTATCCAAAATAAATAGCCAACTGCAGTTCCATCTATTTATAATTTGCAAGTAAAATTTTCTTAGACAACAACCTTCCGGAGCAAGATTTATGTGATTATGACTAATTAGTTGATCACTTGAAATGGTGATACAGGTAATATTCTTACCCCTAATCTTGATATGAAAGACTATGGAACATAATGATTGATTTCTTGGAAATATTCTTTGATTTACTACTTCGTGTCTTATATGCAAGCAGAAAGCAAGCTTGCAAGATGCAAAACCTTTCCATATTATAGCATACTATAAACTTTTTCAATAAAAGAAGTGAAATGCCAAATCTAATGATTACTGAAATATGGTTTGGGGTAGTCTATTTTCATAGATAATGGGAACAAAGTGCTGAGGAAGTAAACCTAAATTTTCATTACAATTTATCTTTTGGTGGTGCATTTTAGGGCTCTTCTTTCAGATGAAAAATTACAGGCATGTTAAATTTTTTAAAACGTAATGTATAACACAATCAAGTTTCATGAAATCAATGCTGCTGCTCTTGAATTAAATATTTGGAGGTTGCCCCCTGATTCATTGTTTGAGAAATGTTCTTTTATTTAAGCAGTATATACTTTTGAGAATTTTATTGTCGAATATTGTTATTAAATTTCTGTTGAATATGGTGTAATTTTAGTGTACTCCCAACCATTTATTTGATTAATAAATAATTAGTATGTATAGATTATTTTATAAATTGTCAGTGATCTTTTCCAATCTTGACTTCTGTTTTTTCCCTCTTTAAGTAAGCTTTAGATTCTGAAAATATGCTTTTGGATGTTATTCACTGGTTGAGTTCCGTGTTTATCTAGTGCTTTTATTTCCTTATTGCATTCTTATGTGTGTCTGCAAAATTTCTATTTCAAGTCAAGATCACATGGGAAGGTTCAAGAGATGAGGGATTTTTTCCCCATTGTCGAGTTGTGACTATATATACATCTTTTAACTTTTTCTCTTGTAAAATCAATAGCTCTGTCAATTCTAATATTTAGCAGTATGCACATCATAATCAATACCTAAATTTCCTTTTTGTACATAAATTGATAATCTGTGATGATATTAATCTGGTTTGTGTGCAGTTTTTTGATTCTGGATAGACTTTTATCTTTCTCTTGGGGGGAAAGTAAGAATGCATCTGGATTCTCTCTAGGTCATGTAGTATTCTGTGGTTGAAATTTTCAGATATTCATCATGGAGTTTTTAATTAGTTCAATTAACAAGATGTTGAGGTGAATTGGTGAAAAGGGTACTTCTAAAATTTTGAGGATAACATTTGATAACACTATTATTATTGTTATAGCTATCATTGTTACGATTGTTGGCTGCCTGATCTTGAAAATTTTTCTCCTATCAGACCCGCCAGTTTTACAACGTAGTTGGGGGAGGAAATAGCCACTAGGTTGAAGTCTCAAAATTATGATTTGTTTTTCCGAAGTTGTTATTGTTTAATGGGATTATTGATTTGATTGGTTCTGGGAAATTATAAAGGGCTGTGGCATGTTCTTGGTGCTTGTTACTCAATGAATTAATGATACAGAAGATTGCTATTTTTTGCTATTCCTGAATTCTAAAGTATTTAAACTTTATAAATTAGAACTGTTTCTTAGTAACACCTTATAAATTAGAACTGTTTCTTAGTATTGCATGAGTTTACAAATGCTTGAAGAGCCTTGATCAATCCATAATTTTATGAAATTTCACTGTGTTTATATATATATAATAATAATTGATACTTGATATTATAGCATTAGTAAAATTGTATTTCATTGATGTTAGCCTGATAAATGAGCTTTGTTCACAGCACTTCTGGGTGCCCGTTTGGTGAGAGCTGCCACTTCTTGCACTATGTACCTGGTGGCATCAAAGTGGTGTCTCAGATGCTTGGTAGCAACCCAGCTCTTCCTACCGCTTCAAGAAATACAGCAGTCCCAGCGTCCTTCCCCGATGGCTCATCTCCTCCAGCTGTGAAAAACCCGCTTGTGCAACAAATTCAGCAGCCCTGAAGGTTGCAAGTATGGTGACAAGTGCCATTTTGCCCATGGTGAGTGGGAGCTTGGCAAGCCAACTGGTCCTGCTTATGAAGATCCTCGTGCTATGGGATCTATGCCAGGAAGGATGGCTGGTAGGATGGAGCCACCCTCACAGGGTCTTGGTGCTGCAGCCAGCTTTGGAGCATCTGCCACTGCCAAGATCAGCATTGATGCATCCCTTGCTGGAGCTATCATTGGTAAAAATGGGGTGAACTCGAAGCATATTTGTCGTGTTACAGGAGCTAAGTTTTCAATACGAGACAACGAGTCAGATCCTAGTTCAAAGAACATTGAGCTGGAGGGAACATTTGATCAGATCAATCAAGCTAGTGCAATGGTTCGAGAGCTCATTTTAAATGTTAGTTCATCCTTTGGAAATAGCAAGAAGAATCCTACTATGGGTGGCTCGGGTTCAGCTAACAACTTCAAGACTAAGCTTTGCGAGAACTTTTCCAAAGGATCATGCACTTTTGGTGATAGGTGTCATTTTGCTCATGGAGCAGAAGAACTACGCAAACCTGGAATATGATTTCCTCATGTTTTGTGTTAGGTAAAAAACCCTTTTTCTGTTTATTTTGCTGTACTATGAGTTTTTATTTTTGCCGAATGCAATGGTAGCTTGAAGTCTCAGTTTTCTTGTTTCCTTTTACCCCTTATTTCTTATGTTTGACGATTTTTACCATGCATTCCTAATCTAACTTACCTGCTGGCGACCATCCATCCATTATTGCTCGAAAACGAGAGTCTACAGTTCAGAAGAACAACTAAAGACATTACTTCTTTTGACAATGTCACAGTATTTTTCCTAATATTTTATGAAATTTACATAAATAGTTGTTCTAAGAATCAATTAGAAAACTAAAAAAAACTCTCTACATGTTTACAGCAGTATTTGACATTTAACAAACGAAAATATATTCATAACTTAAAGCTGTGAAGCAACAAATCACCATCTTCTTCCTGGAATTTGGAGGTCTGTAGTAGAATATATTATGCCATGTAGTACCTTTGCTGTCCATGTTACATCAGTAAGGCTTCTTAGAAGACTCGCCATATCTTCTGCAATCGTCATTAGCAGGACCCTGTATTCTGCAACACATAAGAGAGATGGTCATGTTATCGTTTAAACCATAGCCCGAACTTCATTGTTTCAAATCCGAACCACTTATAATTTCCATAAGCCGATTCCTCTGGTTTGAAAAAGATGGTTAAATATATTAAGGACTTGAGGGCCGAAATTAAAGAAACGTAGTAAAGAATAGTTGCTAACCTGGGTTTTAAGTTCAGCAAAGACATAGAAGCAATAAACTTGTGTTGAACTTGTGCACCACTTTCAAGGTTTTGTTTGAGCTGGGAGATAAGAGTGCATAAGGTCTGCTGCAACTCGGTATCATCAGTTGGTGATGGTAATACGCCGGTCAACCACGCTACAGTTGCTAGGCAAGCAGTCACCAAATCCCCTTTTCCCGAGCCTAATCATTTAGAAATAGCCTCTAAAAATGACTTGTTGCCTCTTTGAACTAGTGATGCCGACAAATTCCTCAACCACTACGCAATGGCATGTTCTTCATCTTCCTGGTTATTGCAGAAGAATGGACAATTACACCAGTCCCACATGAATATTATGGAATACAGGAGAAATAATGGTGAATGGAATTAGAGATGAAACTTACTGATAGAGTACTGTCATCAAAATATAAATCCGCTTCTTTTTTGATAGAGTTCGCTTCATGGTCATCTTTGAACCCAGCTACCTTCAGAATACAGTCCTCTGTCAATAACTTCCCTGACAAAGAAAAACGTCCCCCCAGGATAAGTAGTGCTCTGCAACATTTTTCTCGAACCTCCTCATCGATTAAGCTGCTATCCAGTGCTTCTGTAATGGCATCAACAGCCTGATTTCTGTATAAGCCATATTTTTTAGGATCTACCTGCAGTACATGTTCATGTCAGTTAAAATGAAAAGAAAATAAGAGATTCAATAATATGAAGGGGAAAAAAAGAATCAACATATAGAGCGTACTAGTAAATCTAACAAGCTTACCAGCAGATCTATGTTCAACAACAGTGTGGCAACCAAGGGTCTTCGTACAAGAGGAGAATTTTGGAGATAATCATGAATAGAATACATAATATTCGTTATCTCTTCATCTTGCAAGTCACTTACTAGTAGTGGGACATCTTTCCTCCTGATATGATGAACATGAGACCCAGAATCAGTGATAGATCAGATGGCGCTCACCCGAATCAATAACTAGCCCATGCTTTCATAAATTTAAATATCACAAACCTGCTCAAGCATATCAGTTCTGTCAATAACATCACTGCATTTGTCCTCGAACTTACTTGCTCGCTGCAAACCAGCTCGAATAGACACTGTTTGTTAATGTCTCTCGCTATTTGGTATCTGCAGACTGAATCTGCTTCGATGCAACAGGAAAGAAGTGCTGCGACGCGTGCGTTCTATTCCATGTTTCCTGATTTAAACCTATGAATTAGAAATGGCAAAGCTCCAAGAGAAATAAGGTGTTTGGTATTCATTATTCTTTCTTGTTTGCTTAAAGTGGTAAGAAAGTGGTCTAAAATGAATATAGCCGTTCCCCCACTCCTTAGTAACCCATGTTCCTTCGAATTACCAACTATTTGAAAGGCCAATGCCAAGTTTTTCGTACAATTGTCCGATTTCCAACTGTCTATTACATGTTTCAAAATAACGTTGGTATGCGGCAGCGACGAATAATCCAATGATTTCCCTGTTACTGGACAGGTTCTTTTTCCCTGATTAAACCATTCCTTGATGGCCATTCTCTCGAAGGTTTGACCCGTTTCCAGAGTCACCGGATCTTCGAACAACTTTCCTGTCAGAGGACAAATGAAGTCCTTGTGTATGCTTAAGGATTCTTCATCAGAATATCCGTAAGTTTCTTACAACTCTGCATCGAGACAAGATCAATATGAGCAATCAATTTGAAACCATGAATATAAAGCACAGCTGCACAAGCATTCATAAAGTTTTCCTTTCAACTTACCTCCACTAAAGTTAGGAAGACCAGAGAGAGTAAGATCATCTGTAATCTTAGTTTGTCGCAACTGAAATGCCGGTTCCGCTAGCCTTTTGAGCATGAGTTCATTGGCAGTTAAAGGAGCAGGTGCATGCAGCTCATCGTAATCGTGTGCAGTTGTCTTCCACATGTTATAAGCTTCTTTTTGTTGCAGCATGCTCAGTCCTGGCAGTCTCCATGCTTCCTTGGCTGTTGAGGAGATTCCATCTTCCTGGTCCATAGTAAAATAAGCTTCATTTCTAATTGCCTAGTTCTGCATTTCGAGAAATCTTATCGGAGTCTCACCGGTATACGATCCGTATTTTCAACTCGATAACAAATATTTGTTGAAAGCAAGACAAAATGGACCACAAGAGTTTGAAAAGAACAAAAAATGAGGGTTTATATTTGTTAAAAGTTGCTTACAAGAAAGGATGCATCATCCTGCAGACTTCTGTAGGAAGCTTCGCCATTATATTGGTATGAATATTTCACCGTCTCTGAAGAACACATTCATGTTTCTTTAACATAAATAGAAGAGCAATCTGAGCTTTTCCGGCATGTATCGTAGTAATGCAACTCGTTATCTCCGATTTCCTCTAGTCCGGGTTTACTGGATCGTCCGAATACAGCATCATATAGTTTTTTACTCACCATCGACTGAGGTGAGAAAGGACTAGTTGGACTACCTAGATCTGGAGAATGAGCAAGTGAAACCTCTTGCTGAATGTTTCCAACTGATACAGATGGAACATCGATGGAAGGGAAAGAAAGAGCTTCAGTCCCCTCGGTGAGCCAATCCTTGTAATAAGAAGCTAATTGGTAAGTGCTAGAATCCACGGTTTCATTGTACACTTTCTCAAGAAGCTTCAGTTTCGTCTTCCTGCTTGGTGCATCTGATAGAAAACTAGCTTCCTGATAGTACCAAGCCTCGAGATGTGAAAGATGCGGATGAAACAAATCGTCACACAGTTTGGGCAAGGGATTCGTCCGTTCCTGAGAAGGTGAATCTCTAAACACTTGCAGAAGATGCCTTGCCGAGACCCTGTCCTCCTTTTGTAACTTATATATCACACTGAGGTAAAAATGAGCACATGAGGAAAGCACTGCATTAGGAAAACCGCTCGTTAAGCTGTCCTTCAAGTCGTTCGAATTCAAGCCGGTTATCACACTAAGCTTCAATGAAGCTTTTTTCAGTTCTTTTGCGCTGATAGACTCTGTAACGGCTTTTTCTACTGTCTCGATTGCTTGCTCAAGATTGACAATGACTGTCTTCAATGTCATAGTCGTCTAGTCTGATAAAGTCGAGGGAGGAGAAACATTTGAGACGAAGGACATCACGGAATTCCTCATCTCGGAGAAAGCGTTTAATATAGCCGCATAAGATGGATACAATTGCTTGAACAGCAACTTCATCAAGGGCAGGTTGAGGAACCGTAGGTACCGGATCATCATGCTTTTCGCGGTGGCCATCTTTAAAGCTTTTTCGATTCCATGAACCTTTATTAGCATTGTCATAAGCAGCATCCTGCAGGTTCAAGTTGTTTCGATGCTTATCGCTGTAGCTTCTTCGACCGAGTAGGTATTTAGTCGAAGCATTATCGTTCCTTTTATCTCGTCTCCCTAAACTATGTCTCCCGACAATAGCAAATGCATCATTGGCTCTCTCGGTTTCTTCGAATCCTATCTCAACAACCTCGTTTCCCCTAAAAACGCCCTCTCGCCGATCACTAGAACCTCCTCTTTCAAGCCTGTTTTCATTTCCATTTTTCATTTCAGCATATAGTTTCTCTCTTCTAACAAGACAATCTCTTGGCCTCCTACGCTTGGTACTATCACTACTCGAAATTCACCCTTCGAGCCGAGATACATTGGACCTCGTCCTCTCCGTCTTCACTCTGTTACTAAACGGCGAATCAGACTTGCTCGAAGCCTCTAACCTGACGGATGATCTCGACCTCGTAACCGAAGTCCTCCCTCTAAACCCTTCCTCTGCAAGAAGCTCCTCTAAAGATGATGCCATTTCTTTATGCTGTTAATAGTACGCTCTTGTATGCTGAACCCTGTTGCAAAGAAAGATTGCCACCAGAAATAGATAGGAATTCAGTTCATCCGAAATGGGATTTCACCAGAATACATTCATTTCAACTATCAGAGGGAAATTCCATAGAAATTCCACTTGTAAATGCATGCATTTGGCTAAAAAAGGAGCAATGTACTCATTAAACATGCAAAACAACAAAGACAAATACGATAGAACTACCTAAGCTACCATAATAAAGTAGGCATTAAACGCCAATTGACTGTAACTTAAAGTATATAAAATACTTACTTTTCACTATTGAAATCGAGTTTTCAATCTGATCCAAGTTGGAAACACGAAAACCAAAACTCTTATCTTGCTAATAGACAATGTAAACTGAGTTGCACTCGAGGCTTAGTGAGTGAGAAGCAAATATGAAGAGCAACAAAGAATCGTGGAGGATCTGAAAATAATGGAATATATAAACAGGACATCCTGAGGAAGGAAAAGCCATGGGGAAATGGGATACATGCATGCATGCACACATACATACATATAGATGTATGCAGGGCGTGGCTGACGCGGCGCAAACGGTCCCCAAAAAAGTATATATATATATAGTGGCGATTTTTTAATAAACGTCACTATAGATAGATTTATTGCGGCGTTTTTCAAAAAACCGACATTATTATTGCGGCTTTATTGATAAAACGCCATTATAAATGGATCTATCGCGGCGTTTATCAAAACAACGCCACTATTATTGTCCCAAAATCGAATATATCTAAAAAATAGGAGTTCCTTTATAAGAATTTATATAAGACATATAGATATATATATATATATATATCAAGGCAAGAGGCGAAGGCTTCAGACAAATGAAAGAAGACAAAAAGGAAGCTTTTTGTTTGTTTGTTTGTTTGTGATTTCAACAGTATCTAATATATTCCATGTTTCCCATTTTTTTTTTCTTATTTAATGATTTCAACAGTTTACTGCCGCCCTTGATGGCTTCATCTTTGTCTGCGTATACAAGTTATCTTTTTACGTATAAAATCGCTCGTTTTATTAAAAATAAAAAATATTCAGAATTATAATTACGATTTATAAATATATATAATATAAACATAAATAAAATTATAATTAAGATATTTTTTTAAAATTATTGACACAAAAATTAGCTACCTAGATCAAACAAGAACCAAATAAGAAAAATATCAAAAAAACCTAACCAAAAAGCTTGAACAAAATAAAGATACGAACAAATCTAACTGCATCGGCAAACGAACTACAAAAAGGGATAAAGCTATTGAAGACCACCTATAAATCGCAAATTAGAGTCAAATGATCTGAAAAAACTATCCACGAACGCAAAACGTGTATTCAAATCAATCCGATGGTCCAAATCAGGGAAGATCATCATGATAACAAATAAGTGTTATCTTTATCAGTCGTGGCGATGTCAATCCAACCCTAAGAAAAAAGATAAACGAAAACAACGACAAAAAATTGAAAGCTACCAAAAGACAGAAAAAATGTGTCACATAGACAAAGATAAACGTGTCATAAAAGTAGAGAAACATGTCACAAAGAAATAATTATTCTTATTAAAAAACTAAAAAATAAATAAAAAAAGATAACCGACGGGCAACAACCAACATCAAAATCGGTGCTACTGTCTGTTAAAAAAAATTAAAGAATAAAAAATTGGATTGATCAATAAAATTGAAACAAATTGTAAAGAAAAAAAAAGAAGAGAAAAGAGGAGGAAGAATACAATTAGGGTTTTTTTCATATATAAAAGCTGTTTTAACATAAGGTTTTTAATGTATTATATATCATATATTTTTAATTAACATTTAAATAAATAATTTAATACATAGACAAATAAATCAAGATGATATGAAAATTGTTTATAAAAAATATTTAAAAAAAATTTCTTTTTGCAATGTTACATGGTAGTATCATAAAAAAGTTTAAAAAATAATTTTAATTTAATTAAAATAAAATAATTTAAATTTATTATACATTCGGAGGTCACCTATAAAAACTATTGGTTCTCCATCAATTAAAACCGAGAAAATAACCTCAGTGACCAAAAAATCCTAGATAATATACGATTTTGACCAATTTTTTTTAGATTTACGAAAATGACCAACAAAATCGCAATGCGATCTCTAATTCACATTGCGATCTCCACTATCGCAAATTCACGTTGCATTTCACATTGCGATAGTTGAAAATCGCGTTGCGTTTTTCCATTTCGCGTTGCGATAGTTGAAAATCGCATTGCGATTTTCCATTTCGCGTTGCGATAGTTGAAATTCGCGTTGCGATTTTCCATTTCGCGTTGCGATAGTTGAAAATCGCGTCGCGTTGCGATAGTCTGCAGTTGTCGTTGCGATTTTCCATTTCGCGTTGCGATAGTTGAAAATCGCGTTGCGATAGTCTGCAGTTGTCGTTGCGATTTTCCAAATTCGTTGAAAAAAAAGATTTTGTTTCTTAAGAATTTTCTCTAAAAAGATAGTATCCGACCACGACCACGACCACGACCACGACACGAGACGAGACGGCGGCGGCGACGGCGCGCGAAAGTCCCCCTTGTTCTCTATCACTCAACAAGGAAGTGGGAAAGCCAAGCCTTAAATACCATTCCCAATAGTGTTTCCAATATAATGTGGGATTGAGCATTACCAACACTTGTTTCCAATACAATGTGATTATTCAGGAAACAATTAACAATCATGCACCTTAAAACAACTGAATCATCAACCAATTGCATTAGTATTATACGATTAAATATGTCATAATTAAAAGTCAATCTACAATCAATCGCGATTATTGCAATTTTAAGTAAAACATTCAAAAATAATATCACTATTTAAGGCTCAATCCCACATAGTATTGGGAACAAGTGTTGGTAATGCTCAAATCCCACATAGTATTGGAAACACTATTGGGAATGGTATTTAAGGCTTGGCTTTCCCACTTCCTTGTTGAGTGATAGAGAACAAGGGAGACTCTCGCGCGCCGCCGCCGCCGTCCGTCTCGTCTCGTCTCGTCTCGTCTCGTCTCGGGTCGTGGTCGTGGTCGTGGTCGTGGTCGTGGTCGTGGTCGTGGTCGTGGTAATACGTGTCTTCGACATGTCCGCGCGGATATTATCTTTTTAGAGAAAATTCTTAAAAAACAAAATCTTTTTTTTTAACTATCGCAACGAATTTGGAAAATCGCAACGCGATTTTCAACTATCGCAACGCGAAATGGAAAATCGCAACGCGAATTTCAACTATCGCAACGCGATTTTCAACTATCGCAACGCGAAATGCAACGCGAATTTACGATAGTGGAGATCGCAATGTGAATTAGAGATCGCATTGCGATTTTGTTAGTCATTTTCGCAAATCCAAAAAAAGTTGGTCAAAATCGTATATTATCTGGTATTTTTGGTCACTGAAGTTATTTTCTCATTAAAACCCCGGGACGAATGTACTTGTTATACGTGAGGGGTTGTAATCCCCAACCCCACCAAAAAAAAAGATTTTTTACATTTAATTTATATATACAATTTGAATATTTGTGAAATAATTATAAATTATCTACTACTTTCAAAATATTTATATTTTGTTCCTCTTAAGTTGAAATTTTAATTTCGTCCCTATCTTAGATTGATTCCGCCGTTCAATGGAATTGTTAAAGATCCTTGAACTATGGGGATGAGAGCGCTATTAATCTTCAGACTACAACGCATAGATAAGACCTTTAGATAAATTCACATCGTATATTAGGAGAAAATTCAATGTCTAACAATCAAATCTATATAGTTTGTTAGTCTATAAATAGCCATAATGATCGATCTTACAACCGACACATTAAAAATCACTATAAATACCTCAAACTAAGTCCTAAAAAAGAGATAACCTCCTACATTCTACCCGTCTCCATCTTTTAATCACTTTTCTCGCACAAAAACAATATTGATCAATGATCATTCTTTTCTTGAACATGACTCATTAAAATTAGAAAATTAGATAAACGGAGTAAAATAATAAAGAGTACCCAGAACAAAGGGCCTATGAAACTAATTTATGAGCAATCATATTGCATGTTCTAGAAGCAAACTTAACATCAAAGTCCACATTGCTAGCTAATATATCACGAACCTCCCGAAAATGAAAACCAAGAGTGGAGAATTGCTCGCTTGGGCGCTGTAATTTATTAACAACCATCATAGGGTCGGACTCAATGGTCACTTGCGCCAATGCTTATCCCTAGCAAGCCCCAGTCTCGCCGTCAAAGCATGGATCTCTAGCAGGCTAGCTTTCGCACACCCAGGGGATGACATAGCCATGCCCCCTAAACGACGCCCATTGCATCACGAGCAAGGACACCAACAGAATCTTCGATGAGGATCAAAGGCCCATCGACGTTAACTTTGATTGCACTAGGGCTGGGGTGTCCATCGGTTAGGAGCAGAACTAGGCCGCGTTGATCCTAATGGCTGGATCCGCTGACGTCTCCTTACTATGTGGTTCCTAGTCAATAAGTACTCTTGATGCAAAATCTTGGCATTGACGGCTAACAACTAAGGGGACTGGTAACTATCGTCATGAACCTTGGCATTACGCCCATTCCAGATGTTCCAAAGAAGCACCAGGAAACCCGCATGTCCTTCCAAATAAAGTGTAGCAATCATAGATTCAAGCCAGTCCAACGGGGAAACTAAAGAAAGGCTCCAGTCAAGCAAGCATGGGCAAACATTACCTGGGCATAGTCGCAATCCTGTAAGGCATGGACAACTATTTTCTCTATAGAGGAGCACATGGGACAGAGTCTATCCTCTAACACGGCCGAACGAAGACGGTAACCAATGGACAGGTCTCCATGCGCCATTCTCCATGCGAAGATCCTGATCTTAGGGAGAACCTAAAGTTTCGCGATAATCTTCCAGACCTTAGAGGTAGTGGTAGCCGAGTGGGAGGGCCTTTGGAGCCACCAGGAGTCGGATCTAACTAAGTGCCAGAGTCGTGATAGCCCCAACTCAAGGTATCCTGACTAATACGTGCAATGGTTGTAGAAAGGATTCGTTTAGTATCCTCCATAACGAATACCTCATGAACTTTACCCTCATCCCAACAAACATTGTTCGATTGCATAAACTTCGTCGCACTGAAAAAAGACGTGGAATAACTTGAGTAATCTACTGTAAGAGTTACAAGTTGAGTCGCTCCCCATTTATCACTAACCATGTTGAGCTTATTGCCCAAACCTATCCTCCAGTACAAGGCTCCGGATAGGGCTTGGATTGCTTTATAAATACCCTTCAAAGCGTAGGAGCTACTATGACAAAGAGGGGCACTAAGTAAATCACCAGTAGGAAAATATTTTTGCTTTAAGTACTCTGGAGAGCAAGTAGTCAGGTTATTTAACAAGTCACCGAACTTGCTTACCAAGCATAGCTATGTTGAAAGAACGGAGGTCCCAAAGGCCTAAACCATCTTGGCATTTTGGTTGACAGATTGAACCCTTCTTATTTTAATATAATTTCAAATAAAAAGTACATTTTTTTTCATATGATTGAACTCGTATAATATGTCAAATATGTTATAACCACTACAGCAAAATAGGTTTTTTGCGGCGTTTATAAGCGCCGTTAAAAACACATACGGCGTTAAGACAAACGCTACGAAAACCATTGTTGAAAATAGCGCCGCTAAAGTATTAATAATTGCGCCGCTATATGTCTAAAGTTAGTGGCATTTGAGGTATAAACGCCACTAATTACCTTTATTTATATAAAAATAAATGATTTTACATATTTAATTTCTACTCTACATCAGCTAAATTTACTGATATATGTAGTTTTATCTATTTAACAACAATCATACATTTTAATTAACCCACAAGTTATGCAGAATAAAACCTAACAACAAAATAAATTAAAATTGATAAACATTAAATTAAATGTATGGTTGAACCTATTACGGCGTTTGTTGTAAAAAACACAACTATATATGAACCTATAGCGGCATTTCTTGATATAAACACTGCTAAATATATTGATTTATATAATATTAACATTTTTTAAATATTTAATTTATGCTCTACATAACATAAATTTACTATCTTGTAGTTTAACCTAATTACCAACATCCATACATTTCAATTAAGCCATAAGTTATGCATAAATATACTTAACAACAAAATACATTAAAATTTAGAAACATTAAAGTTATGCATAAACATTCTTCATCATATTGTTCACTAGAATATATTTAGTTCTGCTCATTCGTGGGGAAAGGACGTAGGAAAGTTGTTTTCCTTGTTTGACGACGCATCGTTAAGTTTTTCCTCCCTGTAAACTCTATATGGAGAAATTGTTCATCCATTTCACCAAATAAATCCCCTACCTCCGGTTCACCAAGAAGACTTTTTGCGCGCTTCAGTGCTTCACTTGAAACAGATAACGAACTTCCACCTACACTATGAAACTTGATTGGAGGTGGCTTGGGAAATGAATCAAACATTAAAATAAATTTAAGTAGATGATATAAATGTTTACTTTGAGTAACAGTAGAGGCAACATCATCTTCATTGAGGATAGATACTGCTTTTGTAATTGAAGATTCTTTGAACGCCACAGAGTTACCAAATTCGATTCTAAACATCGAGTATTTATCCACTCCTCTATCATAGTTCTCAATAAGCTTCGAAGATCCTACATGCGTACGATCTATGAAATTTTAGTGACCATAGAAAAACAGTATATAGCGGCTTAAAGATTTATAGATTATTACCTTCAAGTAGGAGATCGTCCATGGAAGGGTATGGAGCAATAGAATTTCCTTTCGGGTCATCATCAAGTTTCGACGGCGAGATCGGACCAATAGCCTCCCAACGATAATTTGATCCATCGTCAGAGCAAAGACGCCACGTAGACATTCCTACGATAATTTCTCTTACTCAAGGCAACACATGCTCCTTTTTTTCTCCAATACGTTAGCTTTAAGGGTTTTCCCCATTTTTAGAATACACAGAAAATCAAAAATGAAAAATATCATTAATGATAAGAGGGATCAAACCGTGCAATTGTGTTATAGTTCGTCGATCAGAGGGCCGATTTGGTCGTCGGGACATTCAAAAGACAACGTCGCTTGGAATCGTGCTCAGCCTGTTGTTGTACCATAGAAGAATGTTTGAGAGAAGAGTTGAAATGATTTTAGGGTTCAGGTAGGAAAAAATAGGACCATATATTTAACATTTTGCGGCGTTTAAAAAAACGCCACTAAATCACATACTTTTACGGCGTTTATATAAAAAATGCCACTATTGATTAACACTATTGTGGCGTTTGTCTAAAAATGACACGAAAGTATTAATAATTGCGGCGTTTGAGGTATAATCGCCGCTACATTACCGTTATATTGTGGCATTTTCCGTAAAACGCCGCAAACTTTCTTCTCTATTGCGGCGTTTGTTGTTAAAACGCCACTATATGTCCACTATATTGCAGTGTTTGTACATAAAACGCCACTAAAAATAACCATATTGAGGCGTTTATAAAAAAGTCGCTCCATTAATACTCAATAGCGGCGCAGCTAAATGGCTACTCTTTTGCGGCCTTTTTTTTTATAAAACGCCACTAAAAATAACTATATACCGGCGTTTGTGCCCTAAACGCCGCTAAATTACCACTCTATTACGACATTTTTTTTTGTAAAAACGCCACTATATTATCATTTGACGGCTTTTGGATTATAAACGCCGCTATATTTCAAAATATTGTGGCGTTTACTCTCCAAACGCTACTACAGAACACTTTTGCGTAGTGAACTGATGTGAGACTAATGTCTTATTATTTAAGCCTAGAAGTGAAACAATCAGATAATGATATATTCATCTTGTAAGCAGGTTCTGTAAAACAAGTTGAAGAAATTTAATATGCTTGATTCTAGTCTTGTTGATACTTTAATGGAGTGTGGAGTGAAACTGTCAAAGTTTGATGATGAAACAAAGAAAGATTCAACTTTGATTAAAAATCTTGTGCGAAGTTTGAAATACTTGGCATATACAAGACTTGATATCGTATTTATAGTTGACTTAGTGAGTGTTAAGAAGGAATTTTTGTTATGCCAGCTGGCATGGTGTTAAATGAACTTTGTTATTTGGTTTTGCCCAACTCGTCATAAACAGGTCAAACTTTTCTTTAGTTGATCCGGTAGATAGATGAAACATATGGGCTAGGAACATATCATTCATGCATGATTGTACTTAACTAGAATCCATGAACACAGAGATCCATGAGTGTATTCAATTAAGTCCAATAATCACCTGCAACCTCTATATAAAGACTGAAAAGTGATGAAACATTACTAACAAACAAGCAAATAATACATTACTTATTTCCCACAAATTTCTTATTTCTAATCCAGAACCTCCCAAGACTTTCTGAACGTAAAACATCAGTACAGTGATTCAACAACTTAAATTAAATGTGATTGAGTTGTAGGTTCTTTTAAAACTAATGTTTATTCAAGGCCAAATCACAGTCTATCTGGGCAGTAATACAAACATCTTACACGTACAAGCACTTTGCATCAGTGTTTTTGTAGGCAACAACAGCTATCACTTATTAAACTTCAGAGAAACGAGAAAATGCACGGTGAAAACAATTTAGGCTGTGGCGGTTGTTTGAGGAAAGAGGCGAATGGGCAGGCCTTTTTCCGGCATTGGGAATGGATCTACAATGATGTTCTCATGAGGAAGAAGCTTCTCCCATTTGTACCTCTTGATAATATGGTGCATGAAAACTAGTATTTCCAGGCGAGCATACTCCTTCCCCGGGCACATTCTCGGTCCTCCTCCGAACGGAACGTACGTGTAAGGAGCTAGTCCGTTTCCTTCGAACCTCGATGGATCGAACTTCTCAGGCTCCGGGAAGTATTCCGGACTTCTATGGGTTGAATGCGTACTCCAGTACAACTAGACACACACGCGTTAATATAGATAGATACATACATACATACATACATAGATTTAATAACTGACCTTCCAACCCTTCGGAATGGAGAAACCATCATATATGAATTCATTGAGGGCTTCTCTAAAAGCTCCTTGGAGAGGAGGAGCAAGACGCATTACTTCACATGCTACGTTCCATGAGTACTTCATCTTTTGAATGTCTTCCCAATTCAGCAGCTCTCCCGGGGCTTTTGATTCTGCTATCTCCATTTGCTCTGCAAATGTAATTATTTAATTAAACACGATTTTATCCCTTAATATTGATGATTAATTAATATGTACCAAAATTGCTAAGAGATTTACCTTTCAGCACTTTGTGGTAGATCTCGGGTAGCTCAGCAAGGTACTTGACGACGAAAGTGATGGCAGCACTTGCAGTATCGTGTCCACCGATAAGCAAACCAAGAATCTTATCTGCCACATCGATTTCGTTCATGTATTTTCCGTTCTCGTCACACGTTAACAGCATATGTGACAGTATATCTTGCGTGGGGGAGGCTTTTTGCTCGGCCAGATCGATCTTCCTTTGTTTGATAATGGCACCCAATTCTTGCCTTACGATGTTCGAAGCCTTGATGGCTCGGTTGAACGGTGTTCCGGGCAAGTCGATGGGGATCGATATAACCCCGGAGGCCAAAAAGTTAAAGGGACGTGCCAATCGCGCGACGTGTTCCGGTTCCTCGATGCTCAAGAACACCTTGCTCGCGACCCAGAAGGTGTAGCTCTTCGCCAGTGGGAACATGGATACTTGTGATTTCCCTTCCCAATGAGTTTCGAAGTGTCTTTGTGCGATGGAATCCATCATCCCCACGTATATGTGCAAGGCCTCCGGTTTGAGGAAATTAGGGAGCAGCTTCCTCATCTTCTTGGACTCCTCCGTCGCCGAAGTTTGCATGGAGGAAGGGAATATCTTGTTGACGGAGTCCGGCCACCACGCGGTGACAAGCTTGTTCTCATTCGAGAACAAGAACTTGTTCCCGGCCGCCCCACAGAAAACTGCCGTAGGATTTCCCAGGATCGATGTTTTAAACACTCGAGAGTGATACTTGGCCATCCTATCGTATATGAACTTCTGAGGGTGACCCTTTCGACCCGTCGACAGAAACTCGAGGCTCTCGCCGATGAACGGCAAGCCTGTTCGGCCTACTGGAAGCCTTGTGTTGGAACAACAACCACTGGTCTCCCGGGTGGAGGAAAAGATAGCCAAAAGCGAAAAGGTGACAATTAGAACGAAAAGAGCGAAACCACATAGGAAATATAACTCCATATTTTAAGTTGTCAGGCTTTTGAGATATACAATAAAGGAGATTATCATACGCACATATTTATATGTGTTATACGTTGGATAAGTTGAGGGGTGCTCGGATGCGGTTCTATTCTTGCAAAATTTAATTTTTTATTCAATTTAAATATATTTTTAAATAATTTAATTTTATAATTTTTAAATGGTTTAATTTTTTTCTCTCCAAAAATATTAGGGTCTAACTAAATTTTTTGAAATTTTGAGAGGTTTAATAAGATTTTTTTTTAAAAAATTATGGGAGGAGACCATAATCTTTGCAACAAAAAATTGTAAAGAGGTGTTGTCTTTAGGAGTGTTTCTTTCCGCGTAATTGATTGCAAAGACATTTTATAATCTTCAGTTTTTTCTTTAATAAGATTCTCAATAACGTTAGCTACAATTTCTTCTAAATTTTGAACCACTAAACATGTATCATTTTCATTCGAATAATCCAATAGTTGCTTGAGAATATCATTCAATTAGTTAATATAATGTATATATTTTATTCATGAAAAATAATGTAGGTTTATTGAATCGAAGAAAATCTCTTTAAATTAATAAATTCTTAATATATCGATTAATTAATTCTTTTTAAATTAATAAAATTATATAATCATAATATTATTAATTTACAGAGGTTTTACAGTATAGAGGATAATCCAATGGAAAGGGAGGAACCACCCAACCCAAAAATAAAATTTTGTTGCAAATATAAAAGCTAAAATATATTATAAATCAAGTAGTCTCTATGATAAAAGAATTGTTATTATTTTTTGAATACTTGGGTTCGACTATTATAGATGTTAAAAATATAAACGTTTAATGTTAAAAAATTAAAAATTTATCTTTAAATATATACTATTTTATATTTATATCATATTAATAAAAGAAATACCCAAAAACCTTTTTGTAAATTTTTTTTTTTTATAAAAAAAAGTCTATGCAAGCACCATACTAGACAATGAAACACAAGCTAAGTCTATATGAATGACTAGAAGAATCTCATCTAGGGGGCCACTTGTGCCAACTACATTTGAATATCATACCTCCATTTTGTTTTATAAACCCATCAAGTTGTCTAGTCACCGACTCCTCCCACTCAGCAACGGTTTAATTCCATTTAATATGGCTATCCCTTGTTTTCATATGTAATAGGATAAGGGGAGGTTAGATAATAAGTTGTCCCTAATATTAGGTTGAGAGCAGCTTCCGTAGAAGACCTCCGAATTATAAAATGCCATCCGTGGGACTCGATCCTATGACCTCAAGATTAAGAACCTTGTGATTTACCAACTTAACCAACTGATGGTTGATTATATTGCTTTTACTGTTAGTGATAAATTTAAAAATATTTTTAATAGTAAAAATATTTATACTAATTATAAGAAAAACTATATACAATAGATAGATTCAAAATTTTAAAGTAAATACAATTAATAAACTAAAATATTAATAAAATATTTAAATTTTAAAATGGACATGAATAATCATACCAGCTCTATGATTTAGGGGGAATGTCTCAGGAAAGACGGGTTAATATACGGCTAATATACAGCATTACCGGATACATTAAAATGTATTTAATAAATTCAGTTTAGCGGTACCTATTATGTTGACAACTAATAATGTTTTAGGTAGAAAATATGAAAAACTATTAAAAAATTTGGTAACCGGTAAACTTTGGTTATCGGTAAGTATCTATCCTTTTTATAAAAGTGTCCATACTTTTAACATATCAAGTAAATTTTACCGGTTTTGTCATAATGAATCTGGTTTTGTCATATTTTTACATGTTATATTGTAAATTATCTATCCTTTTTATAAAAGTGTCCATACTTATTTCACTGTGAAAATATATTTATTATTATCTTTAGTTAATATTGTTAAATTTAAAATCTAAATAATATTTTATAAAATATCAAAACAATCAAATAATTTTTTGTGTAAATGAAATTATTAAATTAATATTGTAGGTGGAAAACATGAAACACTATTAAAAAAAATTGAAACATAAATACATAACTTTCAAAAAAGTATATATCATTTTTATAAAAGTGTCCATACTTATTTCACTGTTGAAAATATATTTATTATTATATTTGGTTAATATTGTTAAATTTAAATTCTAAATAATATTTTATAAAATATCAAAACAATCAAATAAAATTTTGTGTAAATTAAATTATTAAATTAATATTGTAGGTGGAAAACATGAACACTATTAAATAAATTGAAACATAAATTACATAACTTTAAAAGCAGTTATAAATCCTAAAAAGTGTCGATACTTTTAAAAAATATATCGATCCAAAACGATATACCAGGTAAAAATATGATAAAACCGTAACAAAATGATAAAACCGATAAATTTAAAAGTGTCGATACGTTATATAAGGATCGACACTTTGTGAATTTAAAAGAGAAGCAGTTATAGCGCCTATAATGTGTCGATACTTTAAAAAAATATATCGATCCACAACGATATAACAGGTAAAAATATGATAAAACCGGTATCAAAATGATAAACCGGTAAAATGATACCGGATATATTGAAAGTGTCGATACTTTCGTAAGTACGTGTAATAAATTATCGACACTTTCAAAGAAATAGGTAATTATCCTTTCGAAAGTATCGACACCTGACATAAAAGTATCGACACTTTTGTATTTGTATCGATTAAATATAAATAACATATCCGATGAAAATATAAAGGCCATAGATAAATATCCTCTGAAAAAAGATAGAACGGACGAGTTTTTGAAATCGAAGAGTAATTGTTGCTGCATTTCAGAAGGCGTTTCTAAAGCGAAGTTTGTTTGTTTGTTGCTGCAGTCGAATCGAAAAGTATGTTGTCGAAATCCTAATTTTTAATTATTACAGTAATCGCGATAGGGTTTTTTATGTGTTGTTTGGGGTTTTGGAGTAAGGAAGCATTTGGGACCGATTGCAGGTAGAAATAGATATTCAAGGAAAAATATAAATGTCGATACTTTTATTAAATATTATATGTAGAAAATGATATTATAGGTTGTATAAATGTGCCGACACATTTTGGTGTGGCCATTCAAATTCTTTTGAAGAAAACCGTTTTACCACAAGAGTAGTTATCTATATTTGTATATTGAAAAGTGTATGTAACAAAATAATTTGATTTGCGTAAACTGATATATGAAGGAAAATGGAGTCAATGGGTTGGAAAATTGTTGGTGGAGCAGATGACTTTGAAATTGAGGTCGAGACTCGAAAGCAACCAAAGGGTGGATATGTACTTCTAGTAAGTATCAATGTCTTTTTGTTATTATTGTTGAAATGGTAATTGGATTAAAGTATCGATAAACTTTAAATTGATTACAAATTTTAAATGTTAACAGTATGGCCGAATGCAAAAGGATGAAGGGAGATGGCACACAGAGCGGTTCGGTATGTAAAATGAAATTGACATTGAGTAGTATTAGTATTTAGTGTTAATGTATTGATTAAGAAACGTTTATGTTTAATATTAGGTGAAAAAGATGTGAGGTCCAAATGGAATTCAATGAGTGATGCTGAAAAGGAACCTTACATCACACAGTCAAGGAATGATAGTAAAGAATACAAAGAACGGAGGAAAGCACATGAAAATAAGGTATTCATTAAACTTGTAAATACGTTGATACAAAATATATAAGAACTATAACATTATATATTGTTAAAAAATGTAGGAAGTGTCGACAAGATGCAGCATTAAAAGGGTGAATTTATTAATTAAACACCTTAAGGAGAAGGGTCAGTTGAATGTGCTGGGAGAAATAGGTTTTGGATCGTTGATCGGAGTAAGGGATCGACCTATTCGGAGGGAATTGTGTCGATCCTTGATGGCACAATTTGACGTCAGTCAATGTATGGCTAAGTATGGTGATTATTCATTCCCTCTGGGGGTATCGACTGCTGCAGCCGTATTGGGGGTACAAAACAAAGGCAAAAGTGTTATAGAAGTCTGTAGGAGTAAGAACTGGAAAGCACTTGCCTCCAAATATGGTTTGAATCATAAGGTGACATATGCTGAAGTTGAAGAGGATATCAAAGTGGATCTTACTGGGGGGATGAGCTGAAGGCCCGAGTTCTATTGTACCTTGTCGGGATATTTCTTTGTCCAACGGGTGATACGTCAACGAACAAGGAATATATGAAGCTCATTTGCGATGAAGGCTTGAAGGGTGAATTCAATTGGGCTGAATATATCCATTCGAGATTGATTGAATCAATCATCACCTTTAAAAGGGCAGCCAGAGATACCTCAAAGGGTGCATAGCAATCTTAGAGGTAAATGAGTTGAATCATTTTTTTGTGTGTTTTATATAAAAATATAAATTTTATTATAAATGCAGGTGCACTGTTCGATTTTTGGTCGGGCTGTGAGGCAGTGCCGGCTTATGAAAGAACCGGAGTGGCACGCATCCGTGCATGGGGGAAGGAAGAGGTGGTTAGAGTGATGGTGAAGTTGAAGTTGGATAGAGGGAAGAAGCAAGAAATGGTAATAAATGTAATTAAATAATATTAAGAATATAATCAATGTCTTACTATTGTAATTTAATTTTGAAGGTTATTGGCAAGGATGTAGAGGAGGCAGTGGAGGCAGAGGAGAAGAAAGGAGGGATGGTTGTATTGGGGGATGACGGTGAGTGGGACGACGGTGAAGCAAAACAGAGTAACTTCGACATTTTGATGTCTGAATTGGCTGATATCAAAAAATCCAATTTGAAATCATGCAAAGACAATCAAAAGTCGAAGAGAAACTTGATCAAGTCGTAGAGAAACTCGAGAGAGTCGAAGATACACTCGAGAGCCATAAGGGGGTAGTGGAAGGAACAATAGATGGAGTGGTGAAAGAAGTAGAGGTGTTGAGGGGTGAAGTGGTGAAAGAAGTTGGGGTGTTAAGGGGTGATATTAAGATGGTGACGGGAGAAAAATTTGAGGGAGTGGTGAAGGAGGTTGTGGATTTGAGGAGTGAACTTACGGGGGTGA